CATACAAAATACAACACACAACATATAACACAACAGAACACAGAACCCAACACACAACACACAGCACAGCACAACATGACCTCCCGAAATGTTTTCCCAACCAGGCCAAACTATTTATTCCACCTCGCCTGGGTCCCATTGGCATATGAAAACGGATTCGAAACTGGGTCGTCAGTGCAGTGGTGAGACGTTAACACTCAGGCTTTACTGGAAGATTCATGGTGACGCTGTTTCCGAGTTAATCTCCTTCGCTTTCGGTGAAAAGGTGCTAAGCTTTAGTCCGTCAAATGACGAACATCATCAGAGCAAGGTATCATCGTCACAACCAAATTCAAGCCAACGAGTCAAGAAAAGGAGTTTTCTTGGAAACGGCGTCATCACGAATGTTCCAGTAAAGCCAATCGACAGCTGGTCAAGAGGAATTCGCCGTCGTCTTGTGGTGGAATCGATCTTCGAATCTCCTCACCAAACACTTTCACTCGAAATGGAAGTAAGCTCAACAATAATGAAACAAGATATTCGTCGAAGCCCAACTTTTCTTCGCATACACTTAGGTTCAGTTTCAATGGCAAATGCATATTTGTCTCGGAGAGACTACCGGTATAATTATGAAGAGAATTTGGATTTCGAGAAATCCTTTAGTAGAATTATACTAACATACATTTCATTTCGTTTGAGAAGACGAGTGGAATAGATTCGTAAATTGGCCTCACCGGCTTATGTTTGCTGAATTGTGTGAAGAAGACCTCGGCTCACTGTCCTACGACACCGATGATTCCGTGCTGAGATTGCATCCGTCATGCGATGGACATCATCAGAGCTAGAAACCATTATTTACAAACAATCACCCAGAAACACAAAACCAAGAAAAGCGGCCGGCCGGGCTCTCTCTCTCTCCAATTATATCCAGCAGCCAGATATAGTTCTTACTTAGTCTCCTACACTCGTTCCTCTTTTTCAGGATCTTCTTTGTCTCGTTAATTTCATTCGACTCTCGGATATTCCGCTTAGCTGCGAAGTCCTCATATCCGGCAAAACGTCATCTTGATCACTCTATCCGATGTCCTGTAATGACCACATGTAAAGTCATCTTCGATTTTCAAATGATTCTGTGTTCTGATAGCCCCTTATGTATGGGTCGACAAGTCTCCTCCGCATAAAGACTACCGCATGATCACAAAACCTTATAACAACCTGACCTGCAGAGGGCGGCTGAAAATTCTCTCGCCTTGATTAAAAATGGTGACGTGTCGTCACGATGTGTACGACCCAGATTCGAATCCCGTTTCTGAAACTGATTAAACTCAGGCGAGGTCGAAACTGCAGTCTAGTCTACATGAGAAAACTTTTTGGTAAACAAGGCAAAGCGAAATTCAAGGATCTATTTTAGTATGGAAAAAAATCCACTGTCCGTCTTCAGATCACCATAGGCGACCTGAGGTGGATAAGATCTTATTCAAGAATTACGGATAATTTGGAGACCTGCTTACGTCGAAAATAAACGACAACAATTTCGGCACTGCAAAGGTCATTTGAAGTGTTGCTAGCGCCGGAGAGAGATTAGGCTGTCTCCATCAGCTGAGATCAAATGTACCTCTCCACGCGATAAGCCTTCTCCGCCCGATTTCTCTTCAAGCACTCGGACTACCCGAGCAACCTACATTCTCAGTCGCTATGGCTACGATCTCCGGGCTAATGTATTCTGATGGTAATTAAGTACTACCTTCTCGTAACTCAAAACTTGAAACTACCACCAAATCTACCAGACTACGCCTCCCAAATCCAAATCAAGTCAACCATCTAATATCACTGAGAGGCCGACTTTGATATCCCACAAAGAATTTAGCTAAAAGATCGGGTAACTGAACCGAAAAAAACTTTTAACGCACCGTATCAGCACTTTTCGTCACCATGGCAGCACCTCCATATAACTCATCGCTAGTGGATGGTGTCTACGTATGACTTCCAAAAATGAGGACCTCCACACAATTCCTTCCACCAGTTCAATTTTCTATCTCTGACTTCATCATATTGGTTTATACTTTTTTTTTCTTGTTTAACTCCTATATAATCAATGGAATTGTAGTTAAACACAAAACAGACCTACAATCGTTACATACTCGTGTAACGAAGTATGAACGTCGCAGCATTCACTGGTTCAAGTCCCCCGAAGACTAATTGACAATTAGCCACCAACACTTGCAAGAACGTAACAATTTCGGCGTTACTTGTTCTTCATTCTGTACAGACATTATGATATCCCACATGCGTTGCCTTATGCCGTTTATTGTACATCCCATTCACTCACATGTTTCTGATAGCCTGTCCAGTCATAGGATTTCTCTTGAGGATCTCATTGTGCAGTAGGCCTAGGTCGAAGGGGCTGTTACCTCTTATACTGTGATTCAAATTTCCATTCTTAAGGAAATGTTGGTCGGAGGGGATTCGTGAATTGGCCTCACCAGACACCAAAGAAGGATTGCTTTGAAGTGGAGACCGTTAAATTGTGCGAAGAAATCCTTGGCTCACCGTCCTGCAATCCCGATCCATGCGCGCCCAGCTTTCGTTTTTCCCGCCATTAAAGGAATCGTCAGAGCCACATTCTAATGTTTACGAAAAAAAGCATCAAGACACTAAACCAGAAGAGGGGGCAGGCCGCAATCATACCCACTTCTTATACATAATTTCACGAGCCTAACGCAGCATCGCGTGATTTTATTTTTTTCGTAAATGATGGATTCTGGCTCTGACAATGTCTGCCTATGCAGTACAGATAAAAGCCCAGCAAGGAAGCATCGATGGCACAGTAAAGTAGGCCGGGGACTCCTTCGCATAATCAAACAGTGTCCACTCCGAGAAAATGCTCCTTCAATTAACGGTAAGGTTAATATACAAACCGTATATTCCACTTTTAATGCAAAATTAAAAGCCTATTCACATTAGGAAAATTTTCAAAACCCAGTATATCTCAATATCTTCTCTATTTTTTGCCCCATTAGAGAGGTCTGTTGATCATGCCTGAAGTCCTACAATGTAATTTTTAGATTTTTAAATGTTAACTAAAACACATACGAAAAGTAACTGAGCTTCGATGAATCTCTTAGGATAACAGTATTGGGCAAACCTTCATCTCATATCTCATATGAAAGTGCCTAAAGAAGAGATTCGAAGTTCAATCTCACCAAAAGGGGACGGCTGATACTCGCTGTACTGAGGCCGTTTGGCTTTAATACGACGTTCAGATTGACGCAGTCCATCAGACAGTCTCCCTTGTTTAGGGCGAAAACTGGCTGAGCTTTCGTCTATCATGTGATGGATATCGTCAGAGCTGGAACTAATTCTCATAAAAGTCTTATGTTAACACTAGGTCATGAAGCGTTAATGCGAGAATTTTACAATAATGAATTCCAGCCCTGATGATGTTCATCATATGATGTACCAAAGTTCAACCCGCTTTTGCCCGAAACGAGCGAGGCTGTCTGGTGGACAGCGTCAACCGGAACGTCGTATTGAAGCCAAACGGCTGCAGTACAACGCGAATCAGTTGTGTTCCGGTGAGATTGGCCTTCGAATCTCTTCTTGATGCACTTTCATAAAAAATGAACGTATCCCCAACAATGGGTAAGAATTTTCTTAAAATATAAAAATGCTGGTTATTTAGTTCACGCAGCTTGCGAATACAGCACTATACATGTGTGGAATCTAGTTGTCTAGACAGACCCAAGAGCCGAGTCAGACATATAATACTTCACTTCGGGGTCTCGTGACAAAAAGTAGCAGTTGGTGCTCCAGAAGCTGGTCACAGTGAATCGACAATTATACGATGGATACAACGGAAGGCAAGAACTCACCTCAACATCTGTAAAATGGCGGTCAAACAAAGTTCTAGCGGAAAGCCATCCTGTCAACGCCAGGGTAACAGGTCGATTCTTCACCAACTGATTCACATGGCAGATGTAGGCGGCGCAAATTGGAGGACGCAGATGGACGCTTTCTCGGCCGCATTGTATCAACTGAAATGAACAAGGTGCGAGAAGGGAAGGGAAAGAGTAAAACTCTACTCGGAAGTGGCTGATAAGTTTCAAAATCTGTAGAGTTATCATATGGGAAATTAATAGCTGGTCTGCGCTGGATTTGTTAGAGAAATATAGACTTTTCACATAGATTCCAGGGTCTCATGTATCTAAATACGAAGAAAATGGGGGTTTTGGAGAATCCTTTGTTGTGAAACCCTTCATTTCTTATGAAAGTATATGATGAAGGGATTCAAAAACAAAATGGCATGTAAAGGTCTGTGGGTCCAAAAATCTGAGCTCGCTGAACACATGGCCAATACAGGACACTCAATAGACTAATCCAAAACACATTTGGTGAGTTAGGGGGACATGACATCAAAGCGCAAGATTGGAGAGTCTATAGTCCTATTTCTCATGGAATGAACACTGCATATGCACAATAGTCAATAGCGCAAACCCAAATATGATCAATATTAGAGGATCATACAATATTTATGTGTTATTTTAATCTTATTTCGTTTAAGGTGATGAAGGAGTGGTAGTTGAATTTTTCCATAATGAAATGTGAAGAGCTGACGTTTCCAATGAATTTAACATAGACTTGCTTCCCCAAAAGGTGTTCTCATCCAGGGTGGACTGCAGTTTCGACCTCGCATAGGTATAGTAAACACCCCAAGCAGGAGTCGAACCATAACAATGCAGCGTGTGATCTCGACACTTAACCCACTACGCCAGATTGCCACGAGTACACTTGGGTCACAGAGTAGATGTGAATTTCAAGGAAAGCCAAGTATTTCCCACATCACATTTTGTGGTTGGATTGTCAATGAAGCAAACTTATATTTACCATAGCAATCGACGAGATTACTTATATTTCGTTTTAAGTAGGTTTTCGAGACTACCAGTATATAGCTCATAGGTCTGATTTACTGGTACTCTCGAGAGCCTACTCAAAACGAAATATAAGTAGTGTCGTCGATTGCTACGGCAAATATAAGTTTGCTTCATCGACAATCCCAACACAGAAGGCGATATGGGAAAATGCATGGCCTTATTTGAAATTCACATCTGCTCTGTGACCCAAGGTCACTCGTGGCAATGCGGCGTAGTGGTTAAAGTGTCAAGACTACACGCCACACTGCCATGGTTCGACTCCCGCTGGGGGTGCTGACAAGACCTATGTGAGGTCGAAACTGCAGTCTAGCCAGAATGAGAACAACTTTTGGGAAAGCAAGGCTATATGAAATGCAATAAAAGCGTCAGCTCTACTTATTGCACTGTGGGAAAATTCAACTACAAGTCCTTCATCACCTAAAACGAAACAGGGTAAACATAACTCATATAAAAATATATATATAACTCTTATATAATTGTATTCACCCTATTTCGTCTAAGGCGATGAAGGACTGGTAGTAGAATTTTCCCACAATTATATGAGTTGAGCTGACGTTTCCATTCAATTTCACA